TAGTTGTTGCATACGTATTCTTTTTTCAATGAATCGATAAGCTAAAGAAAAAGGGGGCGGGGTCCTGGGGTTCGCCCCGGGAAAATTTTGATTCCTTGATGGCGGGAAATGAGCTTTTCCGACTTCTGAGGTGTCTTAATTACTTTTAAGTTGTTCAAAATTCAAGGTTTTCCTCTCTTTAAAACGGTCAGGTAATTTTTTCCCATTGCTATTACAGGAAATATACCTTATGTGTGTATACATAGACCTACATAAAAATAAAAAATTAGTAGTTGTATACGTATTCTTTTTTTAATGAATCGATAAGCTCCAAGGAAAATGGGGTCCGGGGTCCGCCCCTGAAACATTTTTATTCCTACAAGGCGGGAAATGAGTTTTCCCGACTTCTGAGGTGTCTTTTAATTACTTTTAAGTTATTTAAGATTCAAGGTTTTCCCCTCTTGAAAACGGTCAGGTAAATGTATCCCATTGTTATTACAGTAAATAGGCATTATGTGTTATACATACATAAAAAAAAAAATGAGTAGTTGCATACGATTTTTTTCCATGAATCTATAAATTCCTAAAAGAAAGGGGGGGGGGGGTCCGAGAGTTCTCCCCCGGGAAAAATTTGATTCCTAGAAGGTGGGAAATGAGCTTTCCCGACTTCTGAGGTGTCTTTTAATTACCTTTAAGTTCTTCAAAATTCAAGGTTTTACCCTCTTGAAAATTATTTTAATGAATCAATGAACCCAAAGAGAAATGGGAGGTTCGGGTTCTTCCCGGGAAAATATTAATTTCTAAATGGTGGAAAATGAGCTTTCCCGAATTCTGAAGTATCTTTTAGCGATTTTAATTTAAGTTCTTCAAAACGGTCTGGTAAATTTTTCCAAAAAGAAAGGAGGTCGGGGAATTTTGATTAATCCCGACTTCCGAGGTGTCCCGACTTCCGAGGTGTCTTTTAATCACCTCTATTTTCTTCAAAAATCAAGGTTTTCCACCTCTTGAAAATGATTCAATAAATAGGCGGTAAGGGTTCCCCGGGAAAATTTCGATTTCTTGAAAATGGTCAGATAAATTTTTCTCATTTTTTATTTTATGTGTGTATACATACATAAATAAATGAGTAGTTGCATGCGTATTCTTTTTTTCCATGAATCGATAAATCCCAAAAAGAAATTTTAAGTCGTAGACGGAGGAAAATGGGATTTCCCGACATTTGAAGTGTGTTTTAATTACTTTTATGTTCTTAAAAATTCTAATTTTCTGATTGTAACATAAAAAAAAATTAAAAAATCAGCTCACTGGTCCTGGGTAGGTCTATAATTTTTTTCCGGTCACAAAAAAAATCTCCAGGCATTCCATGCACTTGACCTATATGGCCCGTTATTAAGTCTGCAGGCCTTTGTCTAAAATTAATTTTCGGTCGCTGGATCCAAAATGAAACCTGGGCTAGCGTTTATAATGCATATCATGTACAGACTAAAGCTGATAATTTCTATATAATGCTGAAAATAAATTCTTTTCCATAAAAAATTAAATAGTTCATCCCAATGACAAGTCCTGCCTGAATTCTAAGATCAAAAAAACAGATCAAGCTACGACAAACAGCTTTCGCTAAGGGTGATGAAAACCGTAGAAAACAATTAAGAAACTGCAAAATAAGTTTCGCTATAATGAACATGACTGAGGGCCACTCATCCAAGGAGATGGCGCAGTAAAAGTGCGCAGGCCTGCAAACATCAATTTCCCTCCTCAACAATTACCGTTTCTGGAATCGAAATAGAAGACCATACCTTAGTCGCTTTTTTTCTCCATCATCTAAATATAACAGAGGCCTAAGAACAAATAAATGTCGTAAGATCCAGTACTTGGGGACGAATGGTAATCGACTCTGCTTACCCGAGAAAGAAAAATATTTCCATTATTGTTGACTCTCCCTAATTTGTCTTGAAATTGGATCTAGGGCCTGTATTTGTAAAGATCATTTTCCCACTATTTTGCATGAGTAGGGCTTTATAGCTTTAATTGAGTTTCGATGACTGTATTTGTATTTCCTTTTGTATCGTCATTATTGTTTCACTGTATTTGCCCTGCGTTAGTTCTTATTCAGACACGGCCTAGGCCTTTGTACGTCTTTCCTTTATGAGAAATATTGCGATATAGGGCCTATATTGTGGGTCGATTCATTATCACCGATTGTGATATTGAAACGAACGAATGATTTTCAACAAAAACACAAACGAATGTAGCCTAAAAATGCTGTTGTGTTCATATAAACATGGAGGTATTATTGAGAAGGAGATCACTCGGCAAAGCCCCGCGCACGCAGTGCTATGCAAATGAACTAAGATCAAAGTTGCCGCAGCGCGTAAAGAACGTTTGCGCGATGCCTTTGAAGTCCCATGTGTTCCCCGCCATCAAATTTTCAGCAGGCATAGTTGACCAAAAAATTGAACATGACGAAATGGAGAGCA